TTAGGATGGGGAAATAATTCGAATAATATAAACCCCTGGTTCAAAACTACACAATTCTAAGCCCTCCCCCCTCTTATAATTGTTGGCATCCAAGAGAACTGAGAAACTCACTATTGCAATTCCAACATTTGGATAATTTGGAATATTCCAAGTTTCCATTCTGCTAATCTAATAAACATACAGGAGCAGGCACACAATTCTAATATTTTTCAAATNTATCTATGTGCGTCCTAATAAGCTAATGTGATGTATGTATCTATGTGCGTCCTAATAAGCTAATGTGATGTATGTATCTATGTGCGTCCTAATAAGCTAATGTGATGTATGTATCTATGTGCGTCCTAATAAGCTAATGTGATGTATGTATCTATGTGCGTCCTAATAAGCTAATGTGATGTATGTATCTATGTGCGTCCTAATAAGCTAATGTGATGTATGTATCTATGTGCGTCCTAATAAGTATGTTCCAATGTGCGTCCTTAATGTTTATTCTCATGTTAACTGAATCCTCATCTACATGAAATAATAATTAATACATCATAAAAAATAAAGTCCCAAAAATAAACATAAAATATTGCTAACAAATAAAAAATTACTTTTTTTTATAAAAATTACAGTATAAAATCTCCCCCCCATAAACAAAAAATTTTGCGAAATATTTTTAATATTTTTATAGAGATTTTCCTTTTTTATGACCTGAGTGTAGGATTTATTGTATGTATAAGAATAAGAGTAAATGTTGGAGGAAAAGTATGTACCCTGTGTCCAGAATTCTAATTTTCTTTGAACATTTCTCCTTTTTAGGATTTTAATAATAGAGGGATATTTATGATACTAAACCTTGAAGAAGGGACATAAGGAATTACAATTTTTTTCATTAAAAAGTAACATTTTGCTGAGTGAAAATTTGTGCGAAAATAAGCATACATTTTAATTTTTTAAAGGTTATAGAAATAAGTTTTTGTCACCTTAACCTGTGTCTGACCAAGGATTTATGTGATATCTTTTTATCTTAAAACTGTTTACTTTCAACTGTGGATTCTCTTTAAAAGGGAATTGCGGATTTATGTGACATTGAAATTATTATTTAAGTTTACATCATTGGGGAAGAATTAGCAGCTCAATCATTTTTTTCTTATATCAAGATGGATTCACTGTTTCATGAAAGCAATGTGAAAGGATCAGAGTTTTTGCCCTAGTTTATTGTCTACTGGGTTTATATAGACTTTCAGTGCAATAGATCTCAGAGTACGTCTTTAACAATAAGAATAATATATAAAGTTTAAGATAACTAATTTGTTTTAAATTTTTCTCAGATTAACTTTAAATCTCCCTGTCTACTTTTCTGGGCCAGAATCTTTTAAGTTTTGTAGTTAGACTACTAGTTTACTCTTATTCAAGTCTATTAGTTTATTCTTATTCTAGTCTATTAGTTTACTCTTATTCTAGTCTATTGTTTACTCTTATACTAGTCTACTAGTTTACTCTTATTCAGGATAAAGAAACCGTTTTCAAGTTTGTGTTCCAAAAGAAAGTGAAATATTTCAAAATAATTTCTGTCACACATTTAAAAGCCTGGCCTTGGTCAGGACAATTTCAGGCCTTGACTTCTATTGTGTAGAGACATGGCTTAGATATAGGCTTGGATATAGGCTTGGATAAATGTTTGAAACCCATTTTTCTTTACAGGGTGTCCCCCAAACAAATATAAAATCTTGTCAAGAGTATGAAAGGTGTGAAGGGTCAGTCTCAAAATGTTGGTATAAACCTTTTTCTTTTTCTAATAAAAATTTTCAATTTTGAATTTTTTTTCTTTGACACTCTGGATAATCTCACGAACATATCCCTCTGCATTATGTAAGACAGGAGAACATTTATTAGAGTGTAAGACAAACTGTGGATTAGGAGCAAGCATCTTATATATATATAAAGTAGTAATCTCTGTATGTCTGTTTGGTTGTCCAATCATTACACGGGAACCCCTAAACCGATTTGCCTCAAATTTTAGTTGGGGGAACAATGGGAACCAGGGACATGTTCTAAGTTTGGTTTAAAAAGTTCTCGATTACCCATTTTTTACTTTTTACGTATTCTTTTAAGCTAGTTTTGTAATCTTAGACACGCTCTTCAATCAAGTCAGGGTTTTGATTTCATATATTGACTGATCTTTAGTAAGAAACTCATGCATATATATTATTTCTAAAAGACATTGTTTAAAAAATCGCTCGATACAAGAGCAGTTTTTAGGTTTTAAATTCATCCAAAAGCCAAACTTTTTGGGAAAATTAATTATTTTTAAAAGCAAGCATGAAATTTTCTGTATGAAATAGAAATGTATTAAATTTTTGTTCGCCGATAAGCTTGTTTTTTTATACACCAATTTTTCCTTATAAACCAAATGTAGCATAATAATTATTTTTAATTTTTTTAAGGACATTAAAAGAATTTGTTTTTGATCTTTGTTTTCAGAGATCAACAGATCCTTTTAGCATGTTTAAATTTGTATTAAACAAATTTCACAATATGCAAGTTAAGAAATTCTGCGTCGGATAATTTTTCGAAATCTTTCCCGTGAAAATGTGCAATGTTGACGTTTATTTTTAACTAGCTGAAGTGCCCGGCGTTGCCCGTAGAATAAAAGAAAAAATTGATTTTTGAAAGAAAAAAATTTAGTTAATATTTTAGCCTATGGTACCCCAGGGATACACCTGGGTTCCCTAAAAATATTAAATTCAGCCCATTCGGTCCAGCTGTTGTGCCGGCTATAGGGAAAACATATATGCGAATGTCTTGCTTTATTATATACATTTTACTCCCTTCATACAACTATTATTCATAACATTGTTCGATGCAACAGAAGCTGTTGTATAACTTTACACAATAGAGTATAAACCCAAATTTATCCTTTTTTTGTTGTTTTTCTTCACTGCCTTCTTCAGTTTCAAGTAATTGAAGATCTTTGTGTTACTGCATACATAATGGCACTTTCAGGATAGGCAGACATAAAAACAAATTTTAAAAATGTATTTGAATAAAGAACGGGAAAAAAATTATTTATGAAAATTTTGAAAATCTACTCTAAGAACAAAAAACCCCCCGAAATAGCATTAAATTTTAATTCATTTTATACTTGATCCTGTGAGTAAAACTGCATTTAAGGATAGATGCTACTACTGCATACATAATTGCATTCTACATTTTTGTATGAAATTCTAATTCTATAAGGGGTTTACTGCAGGCGTAAATATTAACTACCATTTTTGGATAAACAATATTACTTCCTTTAGGGCTTCTGCAAATTATTTAGGGGGTAGGGTAAGATCATGATGTTGGTGGGGGAGGGGGGTTGCGTTGTTGGAATATCATGACACAAGAGGCAGGGTGGGGGGGGGTAGAACATTAAAGAGGAAGGGAAAGGGGGGGGATGGTCCATGAAGAAAGATAAAAATCTTGGTTTCAATTTGGTGTTCTTAGGTGTTCCATACCGAATATACAGAATATACATACAGGTTGGAATTTCAAGGTTTAAAGGACTACTCCAGGTTAGGAGATCAGTTACATTCCCTGGTTCCAGGAAAAATTTCCATGCAATGGATTAAAGAACCAGTTACATTCATGGTTCAAGGAAAAATTTCCTTGAAATGGATAAAGGAACCAATTACATTCATGGTTCCAGGAAAAAGTTCCAGGAAATAAATGAAGGCACTAATACTTTCATAGTTCCAGGAAAAATTTCCAGGAGATGGATAAAAGAACCAATTACATTTCTGGTTTCAGGAAAAGTTTCTATGAAATGGATAAAGGAACCATTACATTCATGGTTCCAGGAAATAGTTCCAGAAAATGGATGAAATAACATTAAACATTCATGGTTTCAGGAAAAGTCCCATGAAATGGATAAAGGAACCAATTACATTCATGGTTCCAGGAAAAATTCCATTAAATGGATAAAAGAACTGTTACATTCATGGGTTACAGGAAAAAATTCCATAAAATGGATAAAAGAACCAATTACATTCATATTTCCAGGAAAAATTTCCATTAAATGGATAAGTGAACCAATTACATTTAAGGTTTCAGGAAAAATTTCCATTAAATGGATAAATGAACCAATTACGTTCACGGTTCAAGGACAAATTCCATGAAATGGATAAATGAACCAATTACATTCATAGTTCCAGGAAAAATTCCATTAAATGGATAAAAGAACTGTTACATTCATGGTTCCAGGAAAAATTTCTATGAAATGAATGAAAGAACCAAATACATGTATTGTTAAAGGAAATTGAACAAGGCAAAGGAACCAGTTACATGGAACGATATCATGGATTTATGGAATGGAACGGTTACCATTTGTCCAATGAGTTAGCAAGATTTAAAAACCTGCCTCAAAACTCAGTTAACTGGATTGTAACCTAGTTTTTTTTTCAAGATGTCCTGCTGGCCTTAAAGTGAGCTCAGACATCTCAGATAAAATCATCCCCGTCTTTTCATTTAGGGGCAGACATGGCTAATAAATTTCAAGGGTTTTATATTTATAAATAAACCTGTTGGATTCATGAGAGATTCAACAAAAAAATTGTGAACATTTATTTTTTATGAAAAACAAATTCTAGGTTGTGTCTTGATAATAAATTCCATCCAGTTTTTTATCTATCTTTTTCTCTACTAAATCTATTTGCTTTACATCTATCATAACGATCTGTTCAACAATTCATTCATTCATTCATTTAGAGTTTAACTATTCATCTCCACCCTTTCAAATTTCTCATATCCAATAATTGAATTATGAATTTGAATTTGTATTAGCCCCCCCCCCTCCATGTTAATTCCTTCCTTCCCCCAACTTGATTAACTATTTCAATAAATTTCCGGGGATTTAAACTCAGCTTTGCTCCCTTCCCCTCACTCCTTTGATTGTGATATGTATTTTCTAAACTATAATATAATCTTAATGCAAAACTTGAAAAACAATTTTTATCATTATTTTTTATTTTTAGTGTTGTCGCAGTGGACTTGTTCAGCATTTGGAGTACCTGCTTTTTTATCAGGTTAATTTTTATATTATACAAGCTGAAGTTTACCCGGTCAACATTTTTTTTTAATTTTGAAAAAAAATTATAGTCTATGTTAACCCCGTGGTACTCAAAGGTTACCTCAAAAAATTCAGTTCATTCGGTCCAGCCGTTTGACCAGCTATAGCTAACATACATACAAATATATGAGCGAAAAGCTTTATTGTAAAGATATATTTGGATTATGTTTGAAAACTATTGACAATAATTTTCCTAATATGTTTGTCTGAAACCTGAAGATTTTATGTTTTAGGCGGATTGCAATGCGAGAAATGCAAGTGGGAATACACCTTTACATGTCTGTGCTGTCAATAATCAGGTATAGATAGATAGATAGATGGATATATGGATTGGTGTATATATGGATGATGAATAGATGCATAGATGTATAGATGGATAGATAAATAGATAGGTGATTAGATAGATAAATAGATAAATAGATAAATAGATAAATAGATAAATAAATAACTAAGAAAATAAATCAATATATGAATAAATAGATCGATAAATAGATAGATTAATAGAATAAATAGTTAGATAAATAATTAGAAAAATAGGTAGGTAATCAGATAGATAAATAGTTAAATAAATAAATAGATCGATAAATAGATAGATAAATAGAAAAAAGATAGAAATTAAAAAAGATAATTTATGTTCTTTGTCAGGATGGGTGTGCCCGACTTCTTCTATTCCGAGGAGCGGATAGAGAAGTTCTCAACTACGCCGGTCAAACTGCATACCAGGTACAAATTCAGTGTGCGCGGCGCCGCTTTTCCGCGTGGCATTTTCACTGTAGATATTGAACAGAATAAATACACAAGCTATTGCAGAATAAACAGGGTTAAAACAGGGTAGGTAGACACCAGAGCTGAAAACTATAGAATTTGGGGATATCGAGATCAAATGCTTTATCTCATCTTTTTATAAATCTCCAGATTAATTCAATTTTTAGTTCGTATTCAGAAAAGTTGTTTCGCTACTTAGCGATTTCCCTAAAGACCTAATATAT